TTTGAAACCTAAATGTGCAACCTTGTGTTTAGTCGATAATATATTATGTCACAACTCACAGGCGTAATTTAATTTGTAATATAAAAAATGTGTGTAAACAATGCCTAATAGTAAATAGGGTAGTTATAAATAATAAATTATTGTTTTAGGTTAGGGCAAACCTGTGCACTGTTCCAATAAAAGTTCAATTAATTATTAAAAATAAAATAATTGGTTGTTTAAAAGCCGAATTTAAATATACATATTTTTAAACGGTTCCGGTTACAAATATATTTCAAATAATTGTCTATATGAAAAACTTTACATGAAAGTGTTCTTAGAGAAGAACACCTTATCAGCATGGCGGCCACTTTGCACGGAAAATTCGTTTTAATGTTTTTTTAATTTGTTTTTCGTGTCCGTTTCAGCAAACAATTATTATTCTAACAGACAACGTGGTTTATAATAATTAGCAACAAAAGAAAATAAAACCGCACTAAATTTGTGGATTTACTAAATTCTTGATGTGTGTGTTCTCGACAAGTAAAATATCCTCACAAGGTAATGTTTGTTTATGAAAATAACATGAACTTAAAACAACAATAAACCCAAAGACAACGTCAAAAATTACAACATACATTCTAGTTACTTGAAAATACACTTTTTTCACCGTCTCGAGTCTTCCTTGGTGTATTATTAAAAGAACAATCAGAGTTGTGTGCATCATCATTCGAATAAAACGTTATCAAAATATTATAACTCTGATAACACAAACGTTATCAAAATATTGATATCCTGATAACACAAACGTTATCAAAATATTAATATCCTGATAACACATTGCCATTAAAAACCAGTAAACATAGAAAGAACATTTTTTTATTCCAATAAATTGTGAAATAATTATCCGAATAAATTTATGTTCCAATAATTCAATTTTAAACTATCCGAATAGCTTTTTATTTGAATAATTATTTTCGAAATTATTCAAACAATCATATTTTTAATATCTATTTTTCGAAATCTACTCGGCCTGTATTTGCACACAAGTATACTTATGAGTTATATATAGAGGTGCCATATTAACTCTTTTTTTTTCCTATGTATACACCTACTACGGTGTATTATATAATTTTCGAATTTGTGTCAGCCTATTGAATAGGTCGAGAAAAAAAATAGTATAAACCCATATAATAAAACACATTATAAATCAATATAAATCGTAAACGTTTAATTTTGGAACACACACATTGGTTAGGTTAGGTTGACAAAAAAAAAAAAGAGGCTTTTTTAGCTCACGTGTTTAAACAGTTTAGGAAAATATATGCATAAAAATAATAATAATTGAGCCATTAATTTTTTTTTTCTGTTTAAAACTATTTTGGTACAGATTTTTTTGATCATTTTTTTTTCTCTCTATACGTTTTTATTGTAGTGCATTTTTATTTATAAAATTGAAATCAATTTGTACATATTTTGTGCTGTTCTAGTGTGAACATTATTATTTAATAAAACGTTTGTGATACCTAATATATTATTTAAACGTCACTATTACAACTGGCCCACATTTTCAGACCACAAGTTCAATCATACTCTCCAAAAGGGTGGTGGACAAATCCACCCCTCTAGATGGATATGTTAGAGAAGCTAACGTCTTCCCTATTTGTGACTCTAAAGACACCAAATTTTCAATTTGAATACTATTTAAACTATTTGCCGTACTCACTAATAAATAGCTGGCTCTTAAAATGTGAAATCATGTCAGATATTGCTTGTGTTTTGGCTGCTCCTTAAGGCAATTGAAAGCGGTCGGTTTTTAAGGAGTTTATATAGGCAATATTTATGAACAAAGTGGTTTTTTTTTATAATACTCGTGTATGCCAATTTGTATTGGACTGATCAAGGAAAAGAAAATGAGGGGGGGGGGCTAAAAAAATTGACTTCAAACTCATATATTACCTAGCCGTATAAAGTTAAAGATTACATAACAAAAAAAAAAATACACATCTTAATAGGTATACTACACATTATAAAAAAATAAACATAAAAATATACACTTTTATGTGCATACAATTTATAAAGTACACGAGGAAGGCTCCCCCCTAGAACCCTCCCCCTGCCTACTTAGAATGATGGGATTTTAATTTTGTAAAAATATTTTTGCAGGTTATTGCGGAAGTCGATTTTTGAATAATAATTGTTTGATTTACTTACCGAAACGAGACAAAAAGTAAATACTAGAATTTTGAGAAATCAAAATAGGATTTGAACGCAGGATTTTAATTGAAATATCGAAAATTAGTTCCCACAGGCCTCTCAAAAATAAACTCGAATCTTTTTCCGGAATTGAATTCGTGTCATCCTAAGTGGGCGCAATTTGATCAGGGTTTTAGGTCTTAAACAGTAAAAAACAAAAAAAACAGACCGTTTTCAATCCACAAAAACTGAAAAATACAGTGTTAACATGCTTTTGTTTAGTGTTGAAATTGTACTATAAAGCAACAATAGATTTTTTCAATTTTATTTTTTATTTTTCACTAGACAGTAGCACTTTGAAAAACGTCTACCGTACTAGGGTAGGTAAAGGTGGAAATAAAAAAATCTTTTAAGTTGTATTACTCCCTTTTTTTTTGTTTCTGTCGTTGAGCTCGCCGCCTCAAATAGCCTGATGACACCTTAACAGTAATGTAAACTTTAAACCATCATGGTATTCATTGACTTGAACGTTGTCGAAACCTACCTATATGTTATCACTATGGTTGTAAATATTGTTATTAGTCTTACTTTAAAAACATTATTCATAAGTCATATAACCATCAAATACTTTTTCTGTTAAATTTTCCATTAATATTATAAAATTACAGTTATCAAAATTGAGTTATTGATTTTATAGTTTCTGTTATTGACGTCCCATTAAAAACATGTTCTCTCAATTAAACATTTTTACCAACGCGTTTGATATTATAATCTATTAAATACCTACTTATTGTCATAATATATAGATAGCAGTGGCGGTTTTCCCGGGGAGGCAAGGGAGGCGGTGCCTCCCTTGAAAATTGAGGAAACTATGTACTTAATATTGTTATTATGATGAGATATTTTGGTTTACATTAAATATTTTCAATCGAAAATATTGGAAAAAATGTATATGAACAATAATTTTTGAAAGCGAAAAAAAAAATTTAAGAATTTGAAATAACGTCTCTCCGTATCAGCGGTGACCGTCTGAAAGCAACGGCCGCCGTCCGCCGGCCGCTGCCTGTTGTTACTCACGTGGCATAAGGGCAGCCGGCGGAGGCGGCTGCCGCTAATGTCTCACGTTATGTTGTTGTGTTCACAACATACACACACACACATACATAAAATAATACGAATAGCGCATGCGCAATTCTCTGCGAGAGGCGACACGAAAACATTGCCTTTGTGGGCAACTGACCGATGATCGTTCTTATCTTGGGGAAGAAATGGGACATAGACATTCAGCATGTACATCAGCACCGACACTGCCAACAACAAAATGCCCTTTCCCATTATCACTAAATTATTTATCAGCAGTCCCAATTTGAATTTTGATATCACTATATTTTTTACTTAATTCTGATACCGGTTTACTATTTGGCGTTTTATTTAGTTTTCTCAAGTTATTAGTTAATATATTATTATACTTATTAGCTTTATTTTTTTTTTCAAAATGAATCCTGTATATGACAGTATAGTGGTTATTAAGCAGCATCCATACAGGAAATCGTTTGCGATTATAATTTCATCTTTTGTAAATTGTATTTACATATGTTTTTATGATTATACATTTATCTTAAGTTCGTACATTTTAATGATAATTATTTTAATAGATGACCGGTAATGCGATTATAACTAATAGCTAGGATAATAAGCAAAAGTCTTCTCTTACAGTTAAAAAGGGAAGTATACCAGTATGAAGAAATTTTAGGTCTGGGGGGGTTTTGCGCTTTTTTTTATCAATAAGGGTACAAAGTTGTTGCCTCCTCAACAATTTAATGCCAGAACCGCCACTGATAGATAGGTACTTAGGTATGATAATAATATGATGTATAAGCACTGGGTACGCCAAAATATGTTCCATACTTACAAACTGATTTAGTTCTAACCGTTTAATAAATTGAGGGGGGGGGAGGAAGGGTACAACATTTTTTTGTTTTATCCTAAAATCTTCATAGGATGAAATCGTCAACGCATTATGTTTTAGGGGTAAAAGGCCCTTGGGCCCGTTCCACAGCCGCGGCCGGCCCGTCGCCTTTCTCGGCATCGAGAATCACCACAACAAAACGTACAATACGGCCTTTCTTGCCGGGGGGCACAAAGAAAGTTTTCGCCGACATACGTAGGGTACAGCCACTATACATATGTAATAATAACATACGGAAAGAGAGAAGAGCGCCGCACACACACACGCATACACACACACGGAGAGAAAAAGACCCGACATTTTGGCGCACTCTATACAAACACACATATATAATATTATTATGTGTATACTGTACATGTATATATTCTGAACGGCGCGCAAAGTTGTCGGTCGTGTTTGCGTGTGCGTTTCGTATGTAGGTACATACATATACTGTGCGTTTCGTACAATATGTATAATAATAATACGTAATGTTTGTTTGTTTGTTTATTTTTCGTGTACGCAACCGAAGAATTTCGCGGCGGTAAACTGATGACCGGAGGGGAGGTGAAGGGGCGGCGGCGGCGGCGACCGACCGAGCACACAGGGTACACACACCAAACACAACTCGTATTTAAATAAACAAACCCTCCGCCGCCGCCGCAGTGCAGACCAATTGTACGCCGCGGCACATACCCCCTCGCCCCTTCGCCCCGCGCCCCTCCGGTCCACCGTGTCATCAACAATTCCATTTTCAAAGTGTTTACTTTGGACTAATGTTCCTCCGCCGCTGGTGGTGGTGGCGGTGGCGGTTCCTCGCCGCCAGCCGCCACCGCCGTCAGCGTGTGTGTGTTGTTAATATCGGTAAGGAGACGGACTCGGTCGGTCGGTCGTCGTTTGTCGTGTAGCAGCGATCCGCCGCTATTAATTGTTTTGAAGGCGAAAAAAAAAAAAAAAACCTAACCGGTAGCCGTGTAAACACCACGATGATGATGATGATGATGTTTAATTTTAACGCGCACAGGTAAAACGCGGAAAATTTGTTTTTTTTCTTTTCGATTTTACCGCGCGCCCACGTGACCGTCGAGGTGGCGGGAGGGGCAGGGGAGGTAACCGACGACGGTCGCGTACACCATACCACTGTTTTGTATAATATAGTATATTATAAAAGCGCGCACCGGTTCGGTCGCGTACTGTTATATTATTATTATTGTTGTGTTGTATTTTTTATTACTATTGCCTATGTAAATATAAATATATGTGTGTAATTTTTATTTTTTTATTTTCCACACAATAACAGTTGTTGTAATTAATCGTCGTCCCGCCGTCGCCGCCGCTTTTTGAATCGACACCACCGCCGCAGCCGGTCGACGCGTTCAGTCAGTCGACCGTGTGACACGGGGGATACCGTCCGACGTACGACGTTGCGACACGCCAACCGCGCCCGGACAAACGGTCGCGCCGGTCAGCCGCCAACAGACACCGCGCCAACAGACTTACCGGCACCGTCCGGCGTGCGAATTTCCAAAACAGGTCAGTCCGATGGGAAACGGTTTTTCTAAACTTTTTTTTTTACAAAAATTTTTGTTTTTTTTCGATTAAGTTTACAAAAAATTATCGTCGAATTTTAATTTCACCAAAATTCCAACCCCCCCACGGAGGGTGCAAGTTTTTATTTGTTTTAGCCGCAGTTTTGATACCTAAAAATTAGACAGATGGTAGCTTGTACTTGATTACATAATGAAAACAGTCTTAACATAAATTTCGCGAAAAAATAATCGGATTTCGATTATAAGAATTTCACATTTTTACTTTCACATATATAAATATATCTTTTTATGCTTGACGTGCATCGTTACAATTGAGTGATACTAATTGCAAGAGATAAGAAAATTAATTTTTCAGCTATCAAAAGAAACTTTAGTATACTTTTCTGCTATATAAATATATATATATTTTTTTTTCGATATACAAATATTCATATTGAATTTGCTCATGTTTAGAACCACTGACAATATGATTTTTTTTGCCATTAACACAATTGTATATCTTTGTATGAAAAAATAAAAATGAAATGGTTTTTTTTTTTACAACTGTTGTTACAATTTTTTTCCAATAATAATTTTAAACCGAACAAATTTAATAACAATAATAAATTCTAACAAAGTATACCAAACTAAACGACCGAGTAGACATTTATGTTTGTATATTCCTAGTTGGATAGATAATTTAATTATTATAACGCTAAAATATATAACTTAGTTGACAAATTCGAATGGCTAAGAATTTAAATAAAAACCAAACCGTTTGGACGATTTTCCCTCTTGCAAAATATACTAACAAATAATTCAAAGTAAAGTTAGGTTAGACTTGGTTGGGGTGGGTCGGTTAGGTTAGGTTTGGTTAGGTTTGGTTAGGTTTGATTAGGTTTGATTAGGTTTGGTTAGAAAACACTAAATTATGTGTGTTTTAATATTGTTTTTAACATATTATGTTTATTAAAAAACACAACAAATGAAGCTGGTAGTGATTTTTTTTTTTTTTATAGCCCTTATTAGCTAAGCTAGTAGAAATTCGAATGCAATAGATTAAAATTATTATCGCCAATTATGAATCGTTCACAACGTGGTGTTAAGATGCAAACGAGATAAGATTATACTAAATTAAAATATACTTTTATTTTCGGATCGATCGTTTTGTAAATATATTATCTGGTATTATTTTTTTTTTCTAAAAACGATATTGTTGTAATATTACACTGAACGTGTAACGATTAAAAAACAAAACAACATAAATTAGCCGAGATGAATATTCAACATGGGCATTACATTAATTCTACATAATAAATACTAATAATAATAATAATAATAACGACAGTAATATTATGATTTTCTTAATATTATTATTATTATTATTATTATTATGTTTAAATCCAACAATTTATAATTACATATTTTATTCATCGCCGTCATCATCGTTCAGATAATAATTGCTGTCGATAAACGCGTTAACTTCAATTGTGTTCGATTGTATAATTTAATTAAAAAAATAAAAAACAATTTTATGTGTGTACACATAAAAAACCGATAAGAATGTTTGTTTTAATATTAAAAATTATTTTATTAACTTTGACCGGTTTACATAATGACCATGGCGTTAAACGTCGCGTCCAAACTGATACAACAAATACGAAAATATAATAGAATTATTGTTATTCTAATAATAATAATAATATATCCACTGTCAGTACTGTAGTTCGACAATAGAGATTACACATCTTACAATAATAAAAACTGAATAAATATTTATTGTTTATTTTTCAACCTAATATTATCTAGCCGTCTTGTTTTCGTTGGCACGACGTTTGGGTCAGGTCAAGTTTTCAACAGGACAGACTTATATGTTTTAATATTATCAGGTTTTTTAGTCTAAAACGACTAGACCCCTTTTAAATTAGATCAAAGTCAACAGCTCACCAAAAATATAAAAAAAAACATGAAAACACAATCCCACTATTTATGTGGGAACAAATTGGCTCTCTTTTTAAATTATTTTTTCACTCAAGTTTAGGTTACACACGGTTTGGCTTTGGAAATGTTTGTTTTTTTATCATTTTTTTTTTTGGACTAGCAATTAAACAAACAAAATAAATAAAACAAACCGTTCTGTCAGAATTATTTCAACTTGAGTGTTTTCGATAAGAATATATATTATAATAATACACTTACTTACTGACATAATATTAATTGTTATTATCATATCAATGTACGTCAACGGCTCGAGATAGCCTGTTTATTTTTTTCTCAACTGGTCCTTATTATTATATGTTATCTCGGCCAAACCGATATGGGAATTTTTTTAAATGTACAAACAAAATCTATTAAAACACATCTGTAACAAATAGATATTGGTTTTTGAACACTTTCGCCCTTAGCCCCTTAATATTTAGGCGCCTTGGCCAAAATATAGTGAAAAAACTGGTTAGAAAATAATATTTCTATTTTTTCCCATCGCTGCAAAAATATCAAACAAAATGTGTTACAATAGGTACAACAATAAAAAATTGTGCGATAAAAATCCGCATTTTAAATAATAATAAAAAATATGATTAAAACGACGTTATTCGGTTATGTCTGAACGGTAATGGTAAAAGGTTTTTATCATTTTTTTTTTTTTCAACAATAGCGTTTACTTGACTAATTATTTGTCAATGCTAGTTGTAAAAACAAATCATATTTTTTTATTTAATACATTAGTCCTTGTAAAATAAAAAAAAACACTCGCTGTCTAATTATTATTGAAGTGTTGATAAAAAAAACAGCGTACCTATTTTATCTGTACCGCTTGTTCAAACTGAAAAATTATCATAAACAAATTTTTGGTTTACTGTTTAGCTATCTACATGCTATTATGGCCATTAAAAAAAAATATATTTAGTGGTACTCGAAAACATTTTGTGTCTACACAAATATTCAAATTACAATAATAAACAAAATCGCAGAGGTCGGGCACGGCCAAAAGGGATTAACAGCTGAACTGACCGAATAGTAAATAGGTTTATGATATTTTATATATTAGACAATATGTTTGTCCTCGTTTCCTTGATTAACACAAGAAAGGTGTTGGATAGGTGCCAAATACATTTTCACTAAAGTTAACAATACAGACTTATGTGTACTTATCGACTTTCTTTTCTCCTTGGAAACAAAAAAATACCATCGGGCAGTCTTAAAAATGATTAAAATATTGTTTTTTAACATTCAAATAACGTTGTAGTAAAACAAATTGGGTATTATTTGCAGCAACATTTCTTTTTCGTTTTCCAAGAGGTTGGCTACACTGTTACTCGATTCAAAAATAATAATATGATCGTTATCGTCGGCCGGCATTTTCGATTTTATAAACAGAGACTAGTCTTTTATGAAACAAAAAATATCATGTCGGCAACACTGGCGGGTTATCACCCTTTTTACTCACATGACCGTAGACTGACTTCTAGGAGAGTTTCTCTAAACTAATTTTAACGTTCTTAACATTTTTAGAGTTCTTAAAAATAATTGTTTTTTTTTAACTTGGCCTAAACAAAAAATTATTAATAATTGTGAATTGATAAAAAATACTCTTAGTTTTCGATTTCCGACAATGTCTTTGACCCTTCATTACATGAATTTTTTTGTAAAAAATATATTAATGTTATAATAAAAATATATATGCCATTTTTACTGTGTTTACTGCACTTTATTGATAAAAATCGTTTTGAAAATCGATAGTTCAGTTTAACCGTAATCAATAAACGATATCAATTATAAATAACCTAACGCATATTATATGCACTTACATGCAGTGAAGGTTAATAGACACTTATTATTTGTTAATACTATAATACGGGTACTTACGACTCATTTTCAGATAATTTTTTTTTATTTTTTGCTTCTATAAAATAGATAAATATACTATTTATATATTTATCAAACAAAATTCTCAAAAATGCATCTATTTTTTTAGCTTTGTAAAGTTTGAGGTTTTCCCCTCAGATTAAATTGGACAATTGCATAGTTTTTAGAAAGGAAGAATGCTTATTAATTATTTGCAACAAAAAAACCAAGTAATTCTTCATGTTGACGTCATGTTGCTATTTCTGAATTAAGTGACGGTGTTGCCAACCGTTCGCAGTGTGTGCAACATTTTCAGTAACATCCCGGCTGTGGCATCTGTCCATATCGTTATTGCGGTAGCAAAAAATAAATAAGACATTTAACAATAATACAATTTAGTAAACCAATAAAGTGTAGACCGTAGGCGATAAGGTTTGGTGGTCCGAGTTTACAATAACAATAATAATTATCATCAAGACAAGATTGAGAGCAGCGTCAATCGTCGGTTCGTTATTATTATATTGGTATTGTTTTTTTTTTTAGGTTCCAATTTTCCATGTAATCGTTTGGTTGTTACAAATTTCACAATCTCTAATGTAGTCGTTAATTTATTTATTTTTTTTTTTTTCGGTATGCACGAAAACCGCACGTTTTCACGACTGTGTCTTCAATGTCATACATATAATATTATATTTTAATAATTCAAATTGTTTTCTTTTTTGTTTGTAATTATTATTGTTGTACAGTACACTGTATGCACTTATTCGACACGCGACCAGACACGGTCAGGGAAATAAAATATAATAATAACAATAACACAAACCCAACACGTATAAGGACTGAGATTTTACAAAAATAATTGTAAATAAAAAACGATTCAGCTTAAGACTGCTCGACGTTGTCCGTCTGTCTTGGTCGTCGAAAAAACACCACCCAGATTGTTTTCTTTAATGTTTTTTTTGTATCTGTTGAACTGCAATATAGTTCCAAATATGTTTAATATTGTTAAAGATAATATTATAAATACAGGAAATAATATTATGCAAAACATTTGGGTAATAATTTGGGTCTCATAACGATATTACGAGAAACAGCATAAAACACAATGCATTTTTAACGGATTTTTGGCCACTGATTTTACAACAAGATATACAACAA